TTTTGTTAAGTTATTCTTGTTTAAAGTTATGAAAAATTTTTATTATAAAAAATTTGCTTGATTTCTATTGACTCACCTCATATATTTTTTCGTGTTAAAATTGGATAATTAGTGAATGTATTATAGTAGCATCTTAGTAAAATTTGGTGAAAATTTAATATAAATTTTTATACGTATAGCTACTACCGTACAGCGCTGCATATAGTACCCTGGCCTAGAATGGATAATACCCCCAAGTATTAAATAATCAATATATACTTTGCTATATATTAGACATATCAAATCCAATGAAAAGATTGCACATTAATTATGAAAATTGGTAACAAATCGCTTGTGGGGTACTATGCAGCGCTATGTGGTATATACAAAGTAAAGTTATTTTTTTCTAAGTTACCTTTCTTTCTACTTCTAGTGCTAGTTTTTGAGAATCTAATGATAAGATTGTTAAAATTAATTTGGTAATTCTTAACTTTTCCCCTGTATTTATATACAAAATACAAGAAAAAAATTAAAATATTTTATGAACTACCAAGTTAATTTTAACATTATTACTATCATTGGATTCTCAAAAACTAGTACTACAACTTTTATTATAAGTGGAATAAAGCTTAGCTTAGTAAAAAAATAACTTTGCTTTGTAGCAGCTGTAGATTTCATATTAATAATTAAAATTTACTATGAAATTACTGTCATTCACTCGCGAACTAATATTTTACCTTTTTTTGAGAGATTTAATTATACAATTTGGTGTAATTTCCATATCAGATACCTGTATATAAATTAGACAAGATAATATGTATAAATAATATCAATTTCTAGATTCAAGATCGATCTTTTTTCGGCATTACGCAATTGTTCACTTTCACGTGATTTAACGAGTAATCAGAATCACAAAAATTATTATTCGTTCATAAAAACTCTATAACAAAGAAAAGCGTTTCAAGTATGTAAAAATTAGCAATTAAATACCTTATGCGTTTATTTCATACGTATTGATTGATATTCACATCTGATAGTCTTTCAAAATCATAAAACAGCTGTCTTGGTTCTAAAAGAAAGATAGAAAATATGCCTGCCCTCGTATTTGAGTGGAATGAAGCGGGTTTCAACGATGTTCCTAATGCTCCAGGTCTTCGAAATGGTATTTCAGGCCAAAACAAGGCTGCGATTATCACAAATCTTATAACAAATGGCGCAACAGGGTATAATAATGATTTAACATTTACATTTCCAAGTGGCAGTGCTATTGGAGAATGGATTAATCAGATAAGAGTGAACTTACCATGGTATGAGTGAAGACTGATTTCATGTTTTTCAAACATTTAGCATCAAATTGGCTCAATTATTTTTTATTTACTAAAGGGTAAAGAATCAACGAGGTGTTCAAAACGTTTGCAATTCAATCACTAGAATTAACCAAATTACTGATAATGATTGTGGTTGTGCAGATACACCCTCAACTGTATTCGATATTGAGAACTTTTCATACATCTTTAATGGTTGATGCTGCTAGTTTCGCTGGTTTTTAATTTCAAAATTATTGTATTGTTTCACAAAAAAGATCCAAATTTGGTCTCCCCATTTGCTTTAATGATTAATTATTATATAAAAGCGCTATATTGTCTCAAATTTGTTCTAATAACATAAACATGTCAAATATCTGAAACACTATACATCACACATCGTAAGGCTGGCAAATGACCAGATCTTTTGCTTGAACCCAGCAGACCAGTCTTAGATCAGAACCAAATGACCATTCGTTTATGTTCATGTTATACATGCTATCCAATAAGAATCCTTCGCATTTTTTTACATTAGCCAACTGAATAGTTTTAAGTGATCTTAGAAATAGAATAGTATATGTGGATACAAACTTCCATAGATTCATATTCAACTTAATTTGATAGATAACACCCAGATCCATATAAACGCTTACATTTGTAGAAATTATTTTTTACAATTGAATTTTAAACCAGTTAGTGATAGATGTAAATCAATTCTATTATTTTAATAAACTTTAAAATTCTTTGCATTCAGCCAATTCTAGTATTGATAATAACACTGTAGATGGTATCCCCCAAAATTATACCAGGAACGAAGTGAACTAAGTGTTGGTTATATAGTCCATTGGCATTTAATGTGCCAGCCTTGCGTTGAATCAAATAGCAATTAGAGCAAAACGACGAAATCGTTAGTTTATATATACATAGTTCATGAGTATCTCGAGTCTGAAAACAAAACAGATAAATTATTCGACGCCCTAATATGAAGCCATCGTTACGTAGCAAATTTTAAAACTATAAACAACCAAACTTTCAATTTTTATACACGTGTGGGCAGAGTTGGCAATGGAGTGCGAATGGAGCTCGAAAAAACTAGTATCCATTGACTCCATTCGCGTGTGGGTGGCGCATTTCTTCTATGTGCTATAAGGTGAACTATGCGGATATTATGCCAGATTATATTTCTGGCTCGTAGGCCGGCCGTTGATTTAACTGCACATACCACGAGAAATATAATCCAAATTATACCATATTTATTATCGATGAAATTTATTGCTATACAAATGTATTTAAAATCGAATTCTTTATTTTTTTATCCATTGTTACCTTTACCAGAGCCTTTATTTTATCAATTGAACATCACTACTCTTATTTAACATATGGGCTGTTGTCAATAGAAATAAGGCAGATTGACATTTTAAAAAAAATTAATGCCTTAACTTTCGCAGCTCATATCTTGATGAACTTTGAGGCTATCTTGATGATTTAGTATTCAAAAGAAAGCTTAGATCGTAAGCTTTATTTTGACTATTAAATAATTAAGATAGCTTCAAAATCCATCAAGATATGAGTTGTGAAAGTTGAGGCATCAATTTTTTTAAAAATGTCAATACATACGTACTTCAAGTTAGTGATTTGACCCGGGTGGATATCACCCGGGTCAGTGGGTGACCCGAGTTAAGTTATGGCAACCAGGTGAAAACGGGTGGGGTTGACCCACGGATGACCCGTGGGAGACCTGTGAGTTGGCTCATAGTTTTGCAGTACATGATAAATCAGCCAGAATTATTATCATATCGAAGCTATTATCATAATTTCTGAGACATCTGACAAAAATTGGCCGGATTATTTTTTACTGATTCAATTAAGTTTGTGATTTCTGCATAATAGATTCAATAAATTGATATATCGAGAAATTTAAACATCTCCACTAGGTTAGTCAGAAAATTTGTTAAATACTCTCAAGCACTTTTAACGATATAGATGTATTGAAAAACTTTTATCACTTTAGAATGACGTATTATTTTCGAGACATTAATTACCTGGGCTTGTTTTTTAATTAACCTGGGTGACCCATCGGGTGGCAACTTTTTTTAAACTGACCCGTTTCCACTCGGGTGGCAACTTTTTTTAAACTGACCCGTTTCCACTCGGGTGGCATATCGGGTGACCCGGGTGAGGATTTTTTAGACGGGTCAATTCACTACTTCAAGTTCATCGGTAAAAATAATTACCCAAATATAGTTGTAATTTTACGTAATTTTGATTTTGAACACATGAAATTTTACGTGTAAAAAAAAACTTTCTCCATAACGATAAGCAATGTCTATTGGAGGTGCATTTTCATAGCAAATTGCAGAAGGTTTTTTCATTTTTTTTTCCAATAACATAATATGATGTTAAGTGACTAAAACTATGTCAATATATAATTAATGACTAATTTATATTTATTATATGACGTCGTCAATCAAAATGTAGCATAGTGAGATTAATAATTTTTATATAATACCGGACAGCAAAAAAAAACATCCGATTTTTTTTATATAATTAAATATGATTGGCTAATTTTCGTGTAATGAATTCTGATTGGTTAAAAATATATAAACAAGAAATATTATATTCATAACACTAACACCTATATAGTCTGAATTAGAGTTAGATTAGGGAAGAGGTTTTTATATAATATAATGTATATTAGGTATAAGGTCCCATAAGGTCCCGATTTCAGTTCTCGTGAGGACTTTTGAGGTCCTGAACATTTTTACTCAGAGTACTTAGTACGTTTTTGAGATACAGCATAAGGTGTTATATAAAATGGTGTTATAAATATAATTTACAATATTAAACGCTGTTACATATAAACTTTAAGTTTTAATTTCATAAGAAAAATAAAAATCTATTCTAACAGAATTGTAGCTTAGACTAAAGGCAACAAAACTGTAAGATTAGTTGCTTGTTCTGAGTTATAAGCATTTTTCATATTTTATATATAAAATGGATGATTTTTGCCGTCCGGTACTGTATAAAAAATGATAAAAAATTAAGGTACGTCTAATTGCAGCATGGGGCGCCATTGTGAATCTGAAGACGATACTAAGTTGTACAAGTAACATGTTACAATTGAACGTATCCTAATTTTTTATCAGAGCTTCGTATTTGTATTCGTTATTCGAATAATATTCGTATTCGGCGAATACTTATCTGACGAATAATTCGAATAAACATCTTATTCGTCATTCGGCGAATATTCAAATAAATATTTGCCCGATCTAAATTATTCAAATAAGGAATTCGTAAGCTCTAACCTTGTGTAAAAATTTAATTTCACTATGCTACGTCTTGATTGGCGATGCCCATATAACTTATACGTATGCACTAAAATTTCAGTATTTATTACGTATTCATGAATGTGCATGTAATCTTGGATTAATTAATATTAATAATTATTATTAACCAATTAGCCGAGTTATTAACTAAAAACTAATTAATAATGTGCAGCACAGTACGTATCATTCTTTATCCGACAAACTCATGAAAATATTTCTTGTTTTTGTTTTCATGCATTACGATGTAATCAAAACTCAGTTGATAACTCCCTACGAATCGTGATCATAAATTGCCGGGTAACACCAATACTGGGCAAATTGTCGAATACGCAAATGATTGGCTGATACGTGCGTTTTGCGGCACGTGCCCATATGATCACATAGGAATTATTAGCAATGATCGAATTATAATATTAATTATTAACTAAAAAACTCGAAAGTCCCATCACTATATACATGCCTCACTTCATATTTGATAAATTGATATCAGAAATTAATTTCCACTGATAAATTACCGGTTAAAGTTCAATAAAAGAGTAAGATAAGCACCAGTAAATATCAAATTTTGGCATCAAAAGAATTAATCGTCAACAGCAGAAAATAATATCAATGATATATCAATCTCTGAGATTGACTGGAGCTGTCAGTCACATTACTTAAACTTCATTGATCGTTATTTCGAACATCATCCGGAAATTTTACTATTGATATTTTTTTACTAACTTCTCTTGGCAACAGATTATTGCTCTATTAAACTTAATTTTACCTGCGTCCCGTCTAAAAATAATAATGCAACGGTTATCAATTAATTATTTTACTTAAAAACAGTGACCAATTAAATATGGAATTTTCCATAATTTTAAATTCCTAAAACGCATTATTGGAAACATACAGTAGAACTAAATTCTGAGATTAAACTATGAAGTAATTTTTGAACTGAGGCATGTAATTAATTATTAAAATTATTGAAGACAAATATAAGATTGAAACTGTTACGCGAAAACTGCTTTAGTCTTTATTATAAATACCACCAAAATTTTCCTTTACGCATATAAGTAACTTTTTTCTTGCAATTGATTACTATCACTATCATCAATATGAGCATTAAAACATTCGCATTCAATGGGTACAAAAAAGAAAGTAAAATCATATTAGAACTCATAGAGTTTTTCGGGATCAATCAATCCGTCGATGTCTCGTTAAATTATTTCGACGACATTGACACCATTTCTCAACGTGTTATTGACGAATACAATCTTCATGTTAAACTAAGTGATATAAGACTCAACGCGTCTCTTATGCCTGACTCTCACAACTCCTCTGGCATTCAAGCGTACTATTATTTCGCATTTATTTTCGATGACTTGATGGTTTTTAAGGGAATAGACTACATTGATGTTATCAAAGGCCTGGAAGGTAGAGAGAATAACTTACCACCCCTAATATCTGAGATGTTGTCCATTTTCATGAATCACTGGAAGAAAGATTTTAAAGATAAATATACTTTATTACGAACTGAAATAATTACATGGGTGACATCCGTGAATCAGCAATTACAAGTATCGTTTAATCAAAACGAATACTTCATATTTAAGCTCAAATGTCACGCATCCTATCTAACCCTTGTCCTAATGTTTCTAGTAAGAGATGTTAACTGCACTTATCTGGAATACCGAACATTGCAAACTACATTCGAGGTGTTCATGTTTTATATCAATGAACTCGCTTCGTGTATTCGTGAGAAAGATTCTGGAGAACTTTCATCGGTAGATAAGTTGTTTAAATCAAACGATTTTTCCAGAATCTCAGAGTACTGCACCAAACAGCTCTATAAAACGTTTATAGAGTTTGAGGGCAAGTGCAATCTTATGGTATCATTGGAATTTTTGAGGTTATGCAAGAATACTGTTTTTGTACATCTAGCATCAGATAGATACGAAAAGTTTTTCTTTGAAAAGAGTTTGTCTTAATTTAGAACACGGTGCAAACACCATAAACTAATGCTTTAATAATTTGGCTAAAAGAAATTTTATTTGTTTATAATAAATTTAGCACTTTTAACTAAAGAGGTGTTGATTTATATTATATCATAATTGCGTACTTTCTCAATCATTAAAATAAACATTATTTTTTTTATTTTTTTGAATGGTTATTTTATAATTATTACTATTATTTTAATTAAAATTATTCCTCGTTATAACATATTGATTGGGTTAAGAATATAAGATAAATTATTACAAGAATATCCATCATAGTATCATATAACATAATAACAATAATTTAAATTGTCATATAATCACTCTATTATGGCGAGAGATCCGTTTTAACAGGCCCGCTACAACGAAGGTAGAGTGATTATACTAATAAGGCTCTTGGATATATATTAAGGGAGTTTGATAAAGTGCATATTAAAATGATTTTATTACTATTTTATTAAAATTTGGGTGAAAATCTCTTAGTAATTACCTATATAAAATCGATAGAAATTTATTTAATTCTATGAGTATATAGAATTAAATAAAAAAATTTCATCAATTTTAGGTAAGTATTTACCGAGATATCACTGCTCAAAGTTTGGAAAGTTTGGAAAAAAACTTAGCTGTACCTTTATGATAATCGCCTAAATTGTTTATGAACTTTGAGTGAAGATAGCTCGATTACTACTTATCTAAAATCGATAAAATTTGGTTTATTTTAATTTTACGAATCATGGAATTAAAAAAATCTTCATCAATTTTAGGTAAGCAGTTTCGAGATATCTCAAAGTTCAAAAAAAAATTTGATTATCATAAAGATCAGCTAAGATTTTCTTTGAGTGATGATATCTTGATAGTACCTATTTTTTAAAATTTAAAACATATTTGTCAATATATAATGAAAGGGTTATTAAATGTTGCTTCGTTTATCCTCCACTTAGTCACAGAATCCGTCGAAGGATAGGGATGAGTTATGTCGGTGAAATTAAACTATAATGGTGAAATAATTTCACCACTATTAGTAAAACAATTATTTAATTTCACTAGCACAAAGTTGGTCCAGTATATGATCCCTTCAAAATCTTATTCTTGACAGTCAAAATAAAGGGTCGTAACTGATTCCTTGTCCAGAACCAGTAGACCTTATGGACTTCAAGAGTTTCAAGAACAGCTATTTCCTTCTTTGATAGCTAAGTAACTATCTCCGATTAGCTTACGGTATGCACAGCAGTGAATGTATACTTCGAAGAAGTTGCTTGAGAACTTAACTTTAAACCCTAAACACCACATTATTGAACTACAAAATCACGTATTTACCTTTTCTACAATGGAAATCAATTCTTTCGACGCGTTCGTGTCAGTAGTCTGACTAAAGTACCCGGCGTGACAAATAATGAAGATCAATTTTTTAAAATATTATGTGCGGCAAATTGTAAATTAGTAAATTATAAGTTATTAGCCAATAAAATTCAAAAAAGTACGACAAGTCAGATGATTATAGTAAACCGGGTTATTTATTTAACCAATCAATTTTTGTTCGCATGTTGCATTAGAACAGGGACAAAAATCACCACAAAATTCGCAGAATTCTAAAAAACTTAGCGCAGAATATCACAATTCTAAAATATTGCGGCACTTGACCACAAATTCGCGTCGACGCTGGAAATTCTGGAAAGGTAGACAATAAATTACGAGCATGTTTGTCGGGGTTACGGAATTATATGTTTAGCAAAAGAAATTAAAGAATAACTGCACAGAAATTATAAAATAGCACAGAATCGCACAGAAATTGGGTAAAAAATTTATCACATTAAATCAGATTAAATCACAGAATTTGTCTTATCCACATACAGAATACAGAATTTAGTCTTAATCACCACAGAAAATCACCGTCCCTGCATGAGAGTGAGCATATAGTAAAAATCGTAAATAACATGTCGCATCATAATCCTAGACACTCTAAAATAATTGTGTAATTCACGTGATTTTAATTTTCATTATGTGTAGGTTTCAAAGTAAAAAAGTTGTGCGTAAATAAAACCAAGTTAGTTAGACTTAGATTTAAAAAAAATGTTGAGTTTATGAGTAAAATTCGCAAGGAATGTTTTTAATTAGCTGAAGAGTCGAATCAACGAACATATCATATGTTACTAATTTAGTCACCTGGCCTTACTCCTTTATATAGGACTCTTAAACATTGGATGGTTAAAATATTTAAATTATTTTATTTCTAAATTATTGAACATGTAATATCCATGACTCATACAATAATCTATTTTATAAATTACTCCTAATTATTCTAATTACTTTATTTGTTGATTTGCGTATAATGGGGAGTCGTTTGCAAGAATATATTCTTTCCCACCGACTGTAGCATTCCCTCCTTGAACACCAAATGTCGTAGCGGTGCCAGAGTCTTCATCGGCTCTTAAAGATGGCCAAGAAATTCCATTCGCTGTTATTTAACATTTAAGTTCATTATTTTAATTGTAAAAATTTTATTTGAAACCGACTATATAGATTACTTTATACAGATAATATTTCTACTTACCTTTCTTCAATTTAATTTCGACCTTAGTCGAAAGGAACTCATACTTAGAATTTTCGGGCTCAATGTATTGATAAAGTGGAAAAACTTCTTTAAATATTTTACTATCTGCCGTCCTTAAGTTGATACTCATCTATAATGAAAATATAGTTAATATACATCAAAATAAAAAAAAGAAATAAATTATTCTTACCTCTTTTTCTTTAAAACTGATAGTAGAACGTTCTTTATCGATTTTTTTACAAAATACAGACATAATGACATATGATGGGGTTTGATACCTGTAGAACATAATAAAAAGATAACAATTACAATCGTTGAGAGAAATAAATATGGAATTAATAAAATACGGATAACATACCAATCATGTCTACACTCTATAATTTCTTCCATTTCCTATTTGATTAAAAAGTATTTAATAACAAAAAATAATATATTTGTAAAGCTAGCAAATTACGTACCTCCTTTTTACTAGATCCAACAAATAAATGGTTTCCTTTTTTACAGCCTTTAATCTTTAAGAATTCCTCGAATTCTAATACCTTGCGCGAACAACAACTCCAACCTAAAAAATATGGTATTTCAGAAGAATATCTAACCGATGAAATATAAACCAATAGCAAACCAATCACAAATCCATAGCTACCTTTGCTGCCTTCGTGAAAGATTGGCGTACCAGGATGATAAACGCACTCTGATTGAGATCCTTCATTACGACTAGTTTCATCATCCACATAAGCGGTATTACAACTAGCTCTTTTACAAACTGTACCAGGTGCAACTGGAATACTAAGGTCGTCCTCCTCTTCTGGCTTTTCTTCTTGTGGTGAAGGCTTAGCCTTCTGAGGAGGTTCTGCAGGTTTTGATTGTATTGGAGTATAAGTTGGGCCACTATTATATACCTCAACTCCATTTTTATCAACTGTAGGTTCAATTGAAAGTTTAGAAGAAACTGTTTCTGATTCCTTTGAAGTTTCATTCGATTCTGTTGGAGGTGGAACCTCATTGCTATGCCGACTAATTTAAAGTACCATATAAATTGCTAATTAATTTATTAATCGTGACAATAGTAATATGTATAAATTAAACAGTTACCCTTTAGTGCAGCCGGGAATTGCAAGAAATTCATCAAAAGATGTAACTCGTCGACTACAACATTGCCATCCTTTTAATCCTAATGTAATAAATAATTTTATAATATGGATTCAGTTGATTTGATCACTTTTTTTTATTGATTTAAATCATTAACAAACCTTCATGAAAAATCGGTGCAGATGGATGATAAAGACAGGCTGTTTCATGATTATCCTTTTCTTCATAAGTTTTTTCACAGCCTTTATGAACGCAAACCGGCATTTTGATTTTTTTTTTATTTAATTGATAATTTCCGAGTTCAGAGTAAAACGAACAGATTAATTATTAATTTTATTCGGATTATTTATATAAAAGTAGAACAATGAAATTTATCGGTATACAAATTTATCAATTATAGAAATAAATTTCTTCTAGCAAATTCTGGTAACCCCTAAGAAATATTTGATTCTTTATCTGAGTTACACAGTTTGAATACAATGCATTCGAATCACACTAATTCTCCGTAAATAAATATCTGATGTTTTATATAGTGTCCAATAAAATTTTTATCTCTGATTATCCACTCTAGCAGCTAGGTAATGTAATCAGTTATTTTTGTTATTCTTGCGCTATTAAAATCGATGAAAAATTATCCACTATGTTTCTAATATACGTAGTAATTTTAACCTCTTAAACCCGATAACCTTTTAAAGCTGATGTTAAATTTGTCTACCATGCATACCTGTTTTGACAGGGTATACTGTAGCAAAATTAGATACAGTATATTCTGTCGAAAACCGGTATGCATAGTCAAATTTTACATCAGTTTAAAAAGCAATCAGGTTTGGGTTAAAATTACTACCGTATGCCACTGACCCTTGTTTCTTGAATAAGACCCGGGGGTACAATTATATTGATTTAATACTTTTAATATGATATATCCCTCAGATATAGTACTCGGTTCTTCACATAGTACCAAATGGATACTGTTCAATTTTAAAAATGGAATTCTTGAATAAGACTCCGGGTACTGTAAGCAGTGGCACACGGTATATTAGAAACAGACATAGTAGATTAATTTTTTATCGATTTTGATAGGTTATTAGTTTTAACAGGATTGGTTTTAACAGGATACATTATATTGTAATATATAAACAAAAATTCTTATTATCAAAATATTAAACTTATTAAAATAATTATTTTGATAATAAGCTATCCAAAAATCAGAAATTTACTATCAAAGTATATTTTTTATTAATTTCAAATATGCATAAGTATAATAAATGTGATTTGAATTAAATTACTCACATTAAATTTTAACATAATGCCAAAATCTATAAAGAGTCATAAAGTGGATGGGCACCATAAAGATTTTCGAACTTTTAAGTTCATAAAATTGATTTTTGAGCGTCAAAAATAGACTCAAGTTCAAGCTTTACGTCCATGAACTCAAGCTCAATATTCAAGCTCGGATCTTTAAATTTTTTATTTGAACTTATTAAGACTGAACCGAACGAACCACTTAACATCCCTAATAAATAAATAGAATGCATTAAATGCATGAAATTTAAGAAAAAAAAATACATATATTTTAATCAAATATCCTAATATCTACGATCTCATTAATCTGCGAATTATTAAATAGGATTATAATAAAAAAAAAGATCGTAAAATTAATCAACCTCCTCTTCAGTGAATTCACTGTCATTTTCTCCAAATATATCATCATATTCATTCAATTCATCGAGTTCGTATAAATTTCCCTCTTCATCTTGCATTAATTCACCTGAAATAATGGATACCGAATAATTAATTAATTAAAGAGGAAACATTTCAAATGTGTGTATAAATTACCTTCAACTTGCTCTTTTACATTTTGAAGATCACGCATCAACTCTTCGACCTAAGTTCATAAATTTTGTTGAGATAATCAAGACGATTTGCCTGTACTAATTAGGTACATAGATTACTTACCCTGTTTGCAGAAGGATCACCTTCTTCTTCCTCCTCCTCTTCACCTCCATCGTCATTTTCTAAACTATTATCACGCAGTAGATCTTCAAATTCCTTATCATCAATGACTGTACCTTCAAGCAGTGCCTTGAATTTTTTTCTCATTATCTTACGCATTTTCAGCACAACACTTCTTTTATAATGTCCATCTCGTTCCTTACAACGACGATATTTAAAAAAAAATAAAAATATTTATATACTCGTGATGAATAATATAGACAAATTGATAGTATACTAACAGTACAAATGTCCTGTACGGAATCATGGGAATCGATAAGACTTCTCATTAAGGGGTCAGTTATATCACAAAGTTGAAATATTGCAATATCTCGCTCTGCGGTTTTACCATCGAAAATATGCGTTGTTCTGAAACCGAAAATTAAATATGTAAATATTTCACTGGAGTATATCTATTGAATTACGTATGGGTTGTTGCCTAGCAAAACCATGCTTAGAACATATAGAATATATATACCCTAAGCATGGTTTTACTAGGCAACAACCCATATGAGGTCGTACTTTATATAACTTTCTGGTGACAGAGATAATTCATCCATTTCATTAGTTAAATCAGCCTGCACACGAAGTAAACGTTTTGCTCTCTCAAGTCGAACAGGTCGTCTGTTATTTCGGATGTCCGTAACTTGATAGCTATGAGAAATTCATATAAGATTGCTCAATGCTATTCAATATAAAAACCCATACAACGCATTACAATTTACATACAACCTAGCCTCTTTGTTTTTTCGTGGATCATACCCATATCGCAACCAACAATCTCTCCAAGGACCATTTAACATCAAATATGCGACCATTGGCAACAACCTAATAACGGACAGAAATGATTTTCATTGTATTATTAAGAGTTTCCCGCAGAATGAATGATAAAGTTAGAATATAGTTGCTTGCATTTTGATAGTTCTCCGATCACAAGCTGGCAAATTATTCATCAATGCCAGTCTTGTCCATATCGGTCTTTCTGCAAATAGCTTTAACCCCCCAAAAATACGATAATCGGTCAAACATCAGAATATTCAATGGAAACAAATCTTTTAATGATTCAATTACCTTTTTAATTCGCGCGACACTTTCCGGAGAGGGTTGATGCGCAGATTTTACAGCATCTGGTGGTGGCTCCTCTGGGATAGGTGAAATTGTTAAGGCATATTATCAATCAGTCACGCGATTATAAAGAATTCAATTTAAATAAGGATATTTTCTGAATCATAATATATTGAAATGGCGACAAATTTCTTCCTACGACTTCTATTAATCAGTTTGAGAGCAGGTGCCTAAAAAAATATATATGTATTAAATAGAGGCCTTAATTTGCATTAACATTAAAATTGTGGATTCATTATTCACCTGCCCTTCTTTCTGAACCAAGACTTTGACCACCGCCATATTTTGCCGATAACTGTAGAATAAACATGTTAACAAATGGATATGACATATAATAACGCGCGCAAAAATTACCCATATCCCGTAGGACACTCGATACGTGAAAATGATGGTGGTGGTAGATTATCTTCATCTCTTTCGTCTTTTAATAAAGATTCGAAATCCATAATTGTATTGACTATTCGTTTTATATTCCATTAGACAAGTTCATAATTTTATAAAATATAAAATGTTATAAAATTATAAAACATTGTTTGCTATATCTTACTATCAAAATTTTCTAATGCTTTCCTATATCTTGGAATCGAATCATTTGGATTTGGAACATGTTGGTAATCCGCCATTCCTATGTCGAAAAAGGTTAATTTACCAATTCAATATATATATTTATTTATTCATTTATTTATTTCCACATACCTCGAAAGCGACAGGTTTTACTAATAATTCCCATAATTTCAAAATTAAAGCCCTTGATTGACTCTTCATCAGAATCGCGTCGCGTATGATGGTATGTTACTTTTTTACGTCGACGCGTTACTTTAAGCAAAAGATTCGCAGTTGGAATTATGTCGCCATTAATAGGATGACAAAAAGGATTATTCGGTCTGAAACGAAGCTCCAACAAATCTTCATTTACTGCCTAAGGAAAAAAGAAAAAAAAACTATTATCAGCTGAAATTGTAAAAGAATTTTACAGCTTAGCTCTATAAGCGAAAGTCTAATAAAATTCTCTTAAAATGCAGAGGAGCTTGGGTCCCAAGTATATAGAGCAACATATTCTCTAAGCGAGATTCTTTTTAATTGCATGATTCTTTTACTAACAAATTTTTCCAATCCCAATAGAGAGAGTCGACTGTGTAAATTAATATTCTACCTTCTTAAGGCCTCTTTGCCCCCCAAGAGTTTGCAACGCTTTTTCAGTATTTATAACATTGCCAGGGTATTCCACAGCAAAAAATTGTTGTGTTGGCAAAACCTTTTCGGGCGCGATTTTATAGTTCTGTGGGGCGGTTGTGTTAATATCCTGTTCCATTGTAATAGTAACTCAACTTTTGGAATGTTGACCGAAATATTGAGGGGACACAGGAACACGTGATTTATCTTTGTTATCGGCACAGCAATGATCGACATAGCATAGCAGTTATAATAAGACGCGTCTGTATTCAATTTAAACTTTATTACCTTGAAATGCTACTCTTCCGGTCGTACTCTTGTAGATTTTTTTTTTTAACTTGTTTTCACGAACATATGGGCTACCTTCAATAGAAATCAGGCAGATTGACATTTTAAAAAAAATCTATACAGTACCTCAACTTTCACAGCTCATATCGAAGCTAGTTTGATGATTTAATATTCAAAAGAATGGTTAAGTTCTAAGCTCTCATTTAAATACTGAATCATCAAAATAGCATCAAAATTCATCGATATATAAGCTATGAAAGTTGAGGTATAGATTTTTTTAAAATGTCAATATGCCTGATTTCTACTGACGGCAGCCCATATTTAAGCCTTTTTAAATGAGAAAATTAATTTTAATCCAATACATCCAATGCATTTAAGTTCCTGCTCCATAAAGACCTTTGGAGTCATTAAGTTGAGCGTGGGATCCAATTTAAAGCATTCAGTTGACTCATTACACAGAAACACGTGATAATGAATTTTTATGGGACTTGTGCAAAAAGATAAGACTTTGCAACTATTGGCAAATCGCGGTAAGTATACTATATGTTATCCAAATTGTTTATAATGGTCTAAGCCATGTAAAGTTTTAACCATTTAATTTTTATAGTTAAAACTATTTGATGCTACTTATTAAATGGTTTGTGTGCTGTTCTAAAAATTTGAACGAAAGCTATACAACAAATCTCAGAATGTCACTAATCCACTAACAGTATTACTGATCTCTCTTTAAATAAATGAATAGCTAAAGTTATGTCACAAGACTTGTGAACTATTTCGGTCACTAGAAATTTATCTATGGAGATCCTTAAAAACGTCGGTATTCTTAATCAACTCTCTCAATGAATATGAATAGAGTTATTATCTTGATCTGGATTTAATTATAAATTCAGAAGAAATAAAGTAAGTTTGTTTATTATTAGTTCGTAGTTGTAAATCCTTTGGGCTACCTTTCTATTTGTGAAAGTTCATACTTAACGGGTTAAACACCGACGGATGTCCTCCTTGAATAGGGGGAATTCATTATCACCCACGGTAACGCTTTCTTTTTTAGATAAATCCTGAAGGTGGGCCCAAGGGTTGGCTACTCTTGGTGGACATCGAATGACGTGTTTTTCAAGGAAACTTGTTCTGGTGCATAATCGGTAGTCTGATGTAGCTCCTGGAGTAAGGTCTGCTGGTTTTGTATAAGGAACTAGCTAGAGGCTTTCCTTGCTTTATAGGGAGCATTGTATACTATGAACGAAATAACTAAATTGTACTTGCTTGATGATCATTAACTAATTTTTTTATTATTAAGAACTGGAGGCTGTACACATCTGATTTTTAAAGTAGGTTACTCTCATAATGGTAATATTTGCAATCTAAGGCATTTTATGATATGGGGTGGTCAATAGAAACCAAGCAAATTTATTAGATAAATTTGCTTGGTTTCTATTGACCACCCCCATATTATACAACCTTACATCTCAAATCCGGAATTTCCTACAGGGTCATAACGAAAATAATTCGAGCGGCATTTATGAAATTATATCTTATATCGCGCAAGAAATTTTACCTGAATGCTATAGATAGAGTAGAGACTCAAGTGACGCATAGTGATATGAATCGAAAATCGATTAATTGTTTAGTTGGCTGAGTTGACAACTAATCGATTAATAATTTTGACCCAACTATTAATCGATTAACCAACTAATCGATTAACTATTAATCGATTAACTGACTAGTTGCTTTTGCATTAATTAGCTTTTTAATAAAATTTTTATCAGATTTATATTCATAAATTAGGCCAACTAAACAACTAATCGATTAATTGATTAGTTAGCAATAATCGATTTGTTATCGATTTTTAAACTAACTAATCGATTTTATTTTTTGCTCTGATTCGTAATATTACCCATAATGACAACAACAGAGACATATTAGGTGCTGATAGAGCTATTAGAAAGCTTTCAGACTGATATGTTTACTGATAGCTCAGACAGACATGAATCTAATGCTGTATTTCACAGGTCGAACTTCAAAATTTCGACAAGATTTCTGTAAGATATTAGTAACGTTTATAAAGCTGATATTTGGCGCGCATTGCTGTCTATCGGATAGATATAACATCCGATAGGCATATTAGAGATCTATTAACAAAATATCAAATATCCGATATTTTACGATAGAAGTATCAGATGCTAATAGGCCTATCAGATGCAATATCTATCCGCAATCGCGCCAAATATCTGGTCGTTATCAGCTTTATATTCCGCTGATATCTCACTAAAATCTTCTCAAAATTTTAAAGTTCGACCTGTGTTTAGTAAAGAATTTAAAAATTACTATGCCAATTATGTACTATACATATATTCAATTAGTTTCAAATAACCACTGTTTATACTGTACTTATACACATTATTAACTAATATATGACGTTTACTACAATCAGTTTTATTATAATTTTGCATTTACATTTTTAATTTTTGGTCTTTTTTCATACTCTTCTTTAACTTTACTTGCTCTTTTCAATTCTAATTTACCAACTTGTTGTATGTGTACTTCATCAGGTCCATCGGCAAATTTTAAAGTACGCCCATTAGCATAAAGGGAAGCAAGTGGAAAATCATCACACAAACCACCAGCTCCATGAGACTGGATTGACCGGTCAATAACTGTAAGTAACATGTTTGGTACTATAACCTAGATGCATATATAATCATGATTAATTAAAATTTATTTATATATATACTATTATAGTTGCTGTATTATAATAATTTAATAATAAATCATATTATGATTTACCTTTGCCATACCAATCTCTTTCAAGGCGCCTTTGGCACCTACTTTATCAATCATATCTGCAGCATTTAGAACGAGTAACCTAGCCTGATCAATTAACATTCGTGAATGTGCAATATCAGCAATTATAGTTTCACGTTCAGCTAGTAATTTTCCAAAAGTTCGACGAGAAGGATCGGTAACACGCATAAGCATTAAATCTAATCCACGTTCTGCAGCACCAATTGATCTCATACTTTAAGAACAAAAAACATAAAATAAAATAAAATGGTATTATTGTAGTATTATTGTTTAACATAACAGATAAATGATAAAATTTCAACTATAAGATATTATTTCAGATATAAAAACATACCAATGATGAATCCTACCAGGTCCCAAACGCCCTTGAATAATTTCGAATCCTCTTCCTTCACCCAAAATAATATTTTCAACAGGTACCTTAACATCTTTAAAAATAATTTCGCAATGCCCTTCTGGTGCATCATCATAACCAAAAACAGTAAGTGGTCTAACAATAGTAATTCCAGGAGTATTCCTAGGAACAATAATTACACTTTGTTGTTTATGAATATTTGCATTAAAAGAAGTTTTTCCCATCACTAGAAATAAGGCACATCTTGGATCACCAGCACCAGAAATCCACCATTTATGACCATTAATTACATAATGATTACCAACACGTTTAATTGAAGTTTTAATATTTGTAGCATCAGATGATGCAATAGCTTTTTCAGTCATAGCGAAAGCAGAACGAATTTCACCCTTTAATAAAGGCTTTAACCATTTTTCTTTTTGATCATAGGTACCATATTTAGCAAAGACTTCCATATTTCCAGTATCAGGAGCAGAACAATTTATAGCCTAAAAAACATTTCATAATAAAGAAAATAACCTTAAGATGATTACCTAATTAGAATTATTTAACTAATAAGTAATTAAACGATAATAATAAATAAATACTTCAGGAGCGATGCGAAGCGATCTACCCGTAATCTCGGCAATAAGTGCATATTCGAGGTTAGTTAATCCAGCACCTTCAGAATAATGTTTTGAAAGAAACAAGTTCCAAAGTCCTAATGATCTAGCTTTTTTCTTAAGTTCTTCGATTATAGGTGGGACATACTAATTGATGTTTAATAAAAATTTAATATATATATATATAATTGAATCATTTTTAAATTTTATTTATTAATTTTTTACTTTAAATCTTTCTTCTCCTTTACCAATTTGCTTGAAATAAATTTCTTCAGCTGGAATACAGTCATTCTAATATAAAATATATAATGATAGTATATTCGAATTATGAGTTTTAAACAAATTGATCAATTGTAGAAATTTTTTTGATTTTTTTACTAACCGACCTCAACAAAATCGTCCACTAATTTAATTAATTTTTTTGCATAAGGAGAAATTCTATCTTCAATCAATGAAGGTATCGTATAAACCATTTTATCTCGATATATTTTTAAATTATCAAAAAGTTTTTACATGTATATGAAATACAGTATCGTGAGAATGTCTTTGATCATCCGAAAACGAATATGTACTCCTTCAAGTGATACAAAATTAGGAGTACGTAACATAGGCAATATTTTTAACCGTTCATTACATTTTCATAATGATTTTTTGACATTATTAACCTAAGAGATGTCTATTGTATTAATAATATGATGCTTCTTTTACATATACCGTATGTAAATTTTTTCATTTCTTCAAGGCTTGAATTATCTAGAAATGTTTAGACATTATTATTATTATTATTAAATTTAACCAGATACGCATTTGATATAGCTAAAATAAACTGAGTTATACATTGCATTATAACTAGTAATGAGACTTTTATCACTTTTACAACTACAGTATTACAGCTATTCCTATAAATTCAGAGACGACTGATAAAAATCTTTAATTGTTCGGTCGTTTTCAACTTCGGTTTTATTGGATCTATAAAATGCTTATTTTATTATTAATTTTATGATATTTAAAGTATATTTACTGTATATAATTTAGAAAGCTTCTACACTGAAAATATATGTGATAACAAAATCAACAATAATTAGTGCGATTGTTTAGGTTAGCCATTTTTCTGCCTTGTATGTATTACGCAAAATTTAAAGTGCAATCTTTAAATCATGTAAATAGGTTTTTATTTATTTTATTATTTATAATCTCAGAATTTATAGTATAAAGGAATAAAAGAATATACATTATAAAAATCATAATTATAACTGAATATAAAAATTTAATGAGACTTAGATATCATAACTTCAATCGATCAATTTTCTTTTTTTTTTTTTTGGGTGATTTCAACTTCTTGCTAACGCATGCCAAAGGGCCAGTTACAAAATTTAACCATTTTTATTAAGCTAATAAAACATTAATAGCTGAATACTATCAGTACGAAAAATATATCAATGTTATAATGTTAATCAGTAGACCTTAACAAGTGATAACAATCGTTCCAAAACATAACACTGACTCTTTCTTTTTCTTGCAGCACATTCAAAGTATTGTTTATCTGGAAGTAGGGTTAAAGAAGCGTCTGCCTTAGAGTGGATATTTTAAAATATTGTCTTGTATATGAAAGCGTTAAAAAAAGGGTCGTGTCTTACTTACAATCTCATTGAATTTGGGCGTGCGAGGGTACTCGAATTCGAGGATTGGCGCGAATACCAAGAGCCCGAACCAGTAGCGAAACGCGAACCTCGTTTTATAAAATAAAAGAGAAAAACAACACAACACCATTTTTCTTAATTCTAAAAAATCATTTTTTTCCAGAGTTACTTTTATAAATTGCTTTTTTGGATGGTACACCAAAAAGTATCTTTGCATAGTTCCTTTCTTTCATCTGCATCTTTTTATATCCTCAATCTCTCATTCTCTTTTATTTTTAGAACCTCTTCTTTCAAAATGAGTCGTAAAAAAAAATTACTATTTCAGAGAGTTATTGTAAAGTTGTGTCGCTGTCTTATATAAAATTTTTTTCGATAAAGGTCTTATATTAAACTTCAAAACAAACTTTGATATCACAAATCAACCTCATCTTCAAATTAATCATAATTCCAAATATAACTAATATTAAAATTAATATACTATCACAACAATTTAAACAAGCCTTTATTTATCTTTTCTGTTCTCAATGAAAAACGCTTGAATTGGGCACGTGTTTTTGTGTTCGTCCCGGTTCGGTTAAAGACTGTCTTAACAGAAGACAGGACTGGACCGTGGTCCAGGATCCTTAAACCGGTCTATAAACCAGTTTATTGAAAATAAGCTATGTGGTATGACCTCTGCATATAAAAAAAACCTTACAGCTACCACTGATACAATTGAAAAAAATTGCCAATGACCAAATCGACAAGTTACCAAGTTAAAAAATCAATAAATTACTGAATTAGACCGACATTGAAAACTTTTAAATATGGTCATCAGCAATTTTTTTTTTAGCCAATAAGATCATTCTATAAGAACTGAAAGACCAGTCCGGACCACGGTCCTTGCAGGACCGTAACATCCCTAGGGACGGAATGCCGCAGAATCGTATGTATGCTAATGTTGATGTTGATTAAAAAAACGTGATCAAATCAATAAGCAAAATTCAAATACGTATATTTACACTGTAATATGGTCATACTCCTCGTTAACTTGCACGATCCTAACTCTAAACCCAAAATTATAAACTTGAAATCCTACACCCAAATCCTAAACCCTAACCCTAAACCCGAAAAAACTCTAAAACTTATTGTAATAGTTTAGCATTTGGAACTTATACATATAAATAGTGAATGGCAAGCTTAGTAGTTAAAATATTTAGTATCTTTTTTTATAAAGATAAATCGCAGAATAAATTCACATATTAAAATGTAGTGATTTTTTTTAAATTAATTATGTCCATGATTTCTTTTTAGTTATGGCGGTTTGTAAAAGGTGACCTCTGCAGAGAAATCAGCCGATAGAATTTTTCGAAAGTTTTACAACCGTTTTCAACAACGATTTCCATGTACCTATGTGGAAGAATTTGGAGTAAAAATCGCGGGTCTTGAAAACTCTGGAAATCCGGGAAATATAGTTCCTCATATATCAACAGGTGTGACATGTTCTCTGATTAAAATATTAGCCGATTACGTTTAATAGATATAACACCAATAAAATCTTCACCAAATTTTCACTGGCACGTGATCATGTGTAACGCACCAAAAATTCTTTAAATTAAGGTTAGGGTTAGAAGAGTTTTAATAGTAAAATCTCTCAAGGAAAACTTTTTGTTAATGCAGTTAATGCTTTTACCATACAATTTTTCGCGTTTGTTTTGAATTTTCTGATCGTGTTACGTGATTGGGTTTAAACCACGTGTACCAATAAAAAGATGCTTTATAGAAGTTTGTTATAGTGTCAACAAAGCAATATCCCGGTCGAACAGGCAAGTATTATGTGAAAAGAGCTTCTTTGTATTAGGCACTAATCGGTCATATTTTGCTTTCAATAGCCCTCGAATCTTACTTAACCAGAACTGCACCCAGTTCCGTGTCAACTTAGGGTTTTTGGAATCAAACCGCTCTTTAGTTGTCAAAACACCTCCATTGACAGAAAATTGGAAAGGACTCAATGGAGCGTTGTACAACCGATATTTACAAACATCAAAAAGATTGAATTTACCAAAGGCTCAAGCGCAGAAGAGAACCACAGGGCACATCTTGACAGGTTTTACTTGAATCCAGAGTATAGGTATATTTTCCTAGCCCTCACTATTTGCGATCGGTCAATTTGATTCTGATTTTAGTGTTATAGCTCCTTATTATAATATCGCATATACATTATTTTCAACAGGATACTCGTTCGTATCGGGTAGAAGTGATAGATGAACGCAAGAAGGCAGGTGAAAAACCTTTATTTGTGCACATGTTAATTTATAACTATACATAAGCGAATTATCAAATTGTTTTTATAGAATCGTGTAAAAGGAATTATTCGATCAAAAACAATTGATATATACCAAGCTGTGGGGGAGAATGCTAGTGACGAAATTGTGGATGAATGCCAACAATCATAAGACTCAACAAGGACACAAGAGCCACAAAGTGTATTATCGTTATAAAAACTACGTGAACATTTTCCTAAATTAGAAGATTATACACCTGGCGACTTACCACACCACTGATTATAGTACAACCTCCCTGTTATAATATCTTAAGACCCAGGGTACTATAGTCAATGGCGCACTTATCTATTTTTGAGATTATCGTGTTTATAAATTGGACAAAATTTAAATCATTGAAAACTTAAACCGAAACGAATCGGAAAAGTGATACGCGACATGCGGATACACTAGGGGGTTAAATTTTATTTTTTATCTTTTTATATTTCAGATACTCACTTATACACTTATTACATGGAACTTCTTATCTTTGAAATAAGTGAATCGCAGTTCCGTTGGAACTCTTCACTACTATATACAATATAATATTCTTCATATGATGAAATCAAAATTTTGACAATACATTATATTTAAATTTTTTTATTTTTTTTTAAAAAAAAAGAACTTATACATTCATTTTTCAATCATTATTATTTCTACTGCCGGTATTCATGTCCCAGCGATTTTGTAAAACTTAAATCAAAACGAAACGGAAAACGGATTAAAAAGTACCGTAAAATTCCGAATATAAGCAACCCTTTAGATTTTAACACTAAAATATAAAAAAAGTAAAATAAGCAACCCTATAAGTAAATAAAATTAAGAGTAATTTTTATTAATATTGGCTAATAGAATTAAGTATTTCAAAAGTTACTGAAATTAAGCAATATCGAACTGACAGTCTTGGATCAATTACGAACTTTGAAATTGGATGAAATTAAATTCGTTTTACACTGGGAGGTTAAATTTTATTTTTATCTTTCCTTTTACATTTTCATATATTCGCTTATACATTTATTACGCGGACTTGCGAACAGCTTATCTTTGAATAAGTGAATCGTAGATCCGTTGGAGCTCTTCACAATGCGATAAGCTGGTTACCAATAAAAGGTATTTTTGCTTTGCTTCGTTTCGTTTATACCAGTTTTTTGGTTGGTTCAGATTTTTTATGTCGTCTACCATCTTTTGAAATTCGATTCGATGCTTTTTGACTATTTCTTTTGCTGTGGAAGATTATAAGACTTTTCAAGGTCAAACGCCTACATCAGAGTAGAACTATTAGGCAATTCTGTTCATTATACTACATAATTAATTCGATAAAATAATAAATAAGCTATACCTATAAAAATTTTTTTTACACTGCTCAAATAATATTCTAATCAGTTTCATTTTTTTTTGATTTATTGTCTTCTGCAATATTATCGTTATCAAGAAATTGAATTAATTGTCATGGAAAGTTATGCATTATCAACTTCTTATAATATGAATTTCGTTGTACTTAAATTGAAAAATATCAATATCGATATATAAGTT